CCCCACGACAGATCGGCTCAGCGTCCGCATCACTGCAGACGCCGAACCAATCCGCCTGTCGATCTCCCGATCCCTCCTACCCTCACTCGTGAACAAGACCCCGAGATACTTAAACTCCTCCACTTGAGGTAGGACCTCTCCCCCGACCCGGAGGTGGCAAGCCACCCTTTTCCGGTCGAGAACCATGGTCTCAGATTTGGAGGTGCTGATCCTCATCCCAGCCGCTTCACATTCGGCCGCGAACCTACCCAGCAAGAGCTGAAGGTCAGAGCTGGATGAAGCTAGGAGGACCACATCATCCGCAAAAAGCAGAGACGAGATTCTCCTGCCACCAAACTCGACACACTCCACACCACGGCTGCGTCTAGAAATTCTGTCCATAAAAGTGATGAACAGAACCGGTGACAAAGGGCAGCCCTGGCGGAGTCCAACCCTCACTGGGAACAGGTCCGACTTACTACCGGCTATGCGGACCAAACTCACGCTCCTCTGGTAAAGGGACTGAATGGCCCTTAACAGAAAGCCACCCACCCCATACTCCTGGAGCGTCCCCCACAGGATGCCCCTGGGGACACGGTCATAAGCCTTCTCCTAATCCACAAAGCACATGTGGATTGCTTGGGCAAACTCCCATGCCCCCTCCATCACCCTTGCAAGGGTATAGAGCTGGTCCACAGTTCCACGGCCAGGACGAAAACCACATTGCTCCTCCTCTATCTGAGATTCAACTATCGATCGGACCCTCCTCTCCAGTACCTTGGCATAGACCTTTCCAGGGAGGCTGAGGAGTGTGATCCCCCTATAGTTGGAACACACCCTCAGGTCACCCTTCTTAAAGATGGGGACCACCACCCCGGTCTGCCACTCCCTAGGAACTGCCCCCGATGACCACGCAATGTTGTAGAGACGTGTCAACCATGACAGCCCTACAACATCCATAGCCTTGAGATACCCAGGACGAACCTCATCCGCCCCCGGGGCTCCGCCGCTGTGTAGTTGTTTGACTACCTCAGGAACTTCTGCCCCCGAGATCGGACAGTCCATCCCCAGGCCTCCCAGCTCTGGTTCCTCCTCGGAATGCGCATTGGTGGGATTGAGGAGCTCCTCAAAGTATTCCTTCCACCGTCCGACTATAGCCTCAGTTGACGTCAGCAGCTCCCCATCCCCACTGTAAACAGTGTGAGCGAGTTGCTGCCTTCCTCTCCTGAGGCGCCGGACAGTTTGCCAGAACCTCTTTGGAGCCAATCGATAGTCTTTCTCCATGGCCTCACCAAACTCCTCCCACACCCGAGATTTTGCCTCGGCAACTGCCACTGCTGCACCCCGCTTGGCTATCCGGTACCTGTCTGCTGCCTCCGGAGACCCACAGACCAGCCACGCCCTGTAGGCCTCCTTCTTCAGCCTGACGGCTCCCCGAACCTCTGGTGTCCACCAGCGGGTACGGGGGTTGCCACCACGACTGGCACCGGCCACCTTACGACCACAGCTAGCAACAGCCGCCTCGACAATCGCAGAGTGGAACAAGGCCCACTCGGACTCAATGTCCCCCACTGCTCTCGGGACGTGGTCAAAGCTCTGCCGGAGGTGGGAGTTGAAGACCGTCTTGACAGGTTCTTCTGCCAGGCGTTCCCAGCAGACCCTCACTATGCGTTTGGGTCTGCCAGGTCTACGCGGCATGTTCCCTTGCCATCTGATCCAACTCACCACCAGGTGGTGATCAGTTGACAGCTCCGCCCCTCTCTTCACTCAGGTGTCCAAAACATACGGCCGCAGGTCAGATGATACGACTACAAAATCCATCATCGACCTGCGACCTAGGCTGCCCTGGTACCAAGTGTACCGATGGGCATCCTTATGTTCGAACATGGTGTTCGTTATGGCCAAACTGCGGCTTGCACAGAAGTCCAATAACAAAACACCGCTCGAGTTCAGATTAGGTGGGCCGTTCCTCCCAATCACACCCCTCCAGGTCAAGCTGTCATTGCCCACGTGAGCATTGAAGTCCCCCAGCAGGACAATGGAGTCCCCTGATGGAGCACTATCTAGCACTCGTCCCAGGGACTCCAAAAAGGGTGGGTACTCTGAACTGATATTTGGCCCATAAGCACAAACAACAGTCAGGACCCGTTCCCCGACCCGAAGGCGCAAGGAAGCTACCCTCTTGTCCCCCGGGGTAAACCCCAACACACAGGCAGAGAGTCTCGGGGCTAACAAAAAGCCAACCCCAGCCCTCCGCCTCTCACCCGGAGCAACTCCAGCAAAGTAGAGTGTCCAACCCCTCTCCAGGTCTCGGGTTCCAGAGCCAATGCAATGTGTCGAGGTGAGTCCGACTATATCTAGCCGGTACCGCTCAACCTCTGCCACAAGCTCCGGCTCCTTCCCCGCCAGCGAGGTGACGTTCCATGTCCCAAAAACTAGTTTTCTTGTCCGGGGATTGGACCGCCAAGGCTCCCGCCTTGGTCTGCCACCCGATTCGCATTGCACCGGACCCTTCATGTTCCTCCTGCGGGTGGTGGGTCCACAGTTGGACGAGCCCATGTATCCGGTTCGGGCTGGGCCCGGCCGGGCCCCATGGGCGAAAGCCCGGCCACCAGGCGCTCGCTCACGGGCCCCAACCCCAGGCCTGGCTCCAGGGTGGGACCCCGGTAACCCTCCGGGCCAGGTACTCCGACTCTTCGTTTTAACCGCCATGAAAGATCCTTCGAACCGTTCTTTGTCTCACCCTTCACCTAAGACCAATTTGTCATGGGAGACCCTACCAGGGGCACTAAGTGCCCCAGACAACATAGCTCCTAGGATCATTAGGGCACTCAAACTCCTCCACCACGATAAGGTGACGGTTCAAGGAGGCTTTAAAAGACAGTTTCTAAATTTTAAACTTTTACTTAATTTGTGAAAATTTAAAGGAAACGGATTTATGCACTTTTTAAGTCACATTAGAACTGGCTCATCTGAAAAATTACAACACCTACATTTATCAAACTTTAACGACATTATTTTGAGATAAGAGCTCAGTCCTTTAAACATAGTTTGTGATTTGTGAAACCTTTATTGGATTTGTTACAGTTGAATAAATAACAAACTCCAGAACTTTTTTTTTTTTTTACTTGATCCACCTTAGATCTGGTCCAGTTAAAAACACTTACTTTTCAAACCTGGACTAAATTATTCTACATGAACAACACTATCAAAAAAGACAGTTGGTAATTTGTGAAGCCTTTAGTAGATAATGAAAGTTTAAATGAGGCAACTTTCTTCATTTATTTATTGCGAGTTTGGATCATCATAGGTTAAGGTTTATAAACAATATGTCATGACTCCCAGGCTGCCACCCTCCTCTGCCTCAGCTGCCTCCTCAATCAAGCCCTCAGACACTTAATTATCAACACCTGCGCCCTGTCATCAGCTCATGCCATACACCTGCCTCCTCTGCTATATAGCACCCAGCCTGCTCTCCAACCAACTCCAGATTATTGAACGCCACAGCTAGTAAATTCTCCAGCCTTCCATCCAATCGTCTGTCTCGACCTGGTTCTGTCTCCCGGATTCTCGCCTTGCCTCACCCCTGCTTTGGATCCCTGCCTCGTTCCCTACCATGCTATTGAATTACCCGGATTATTGACATTGGATCTATCCCCTGACTTCGAGCTCTCGCCTGCCTCCTCGGATCTCTCTTCATCGTCTCACTTCCACCTGACCACGTCTCAGCCTTCTTCCTGGTTCAGACCACTCTTCCGCCTCACTACAACCCAGCCATCTCTCTCTGCAGTGTTGGTGACAAACTCCTGAATTGTTTTAATAAACATTTAAAACGTCTTACTGTGTTCCATGTCCTCACGAGTCCTACATCCAAGCTCAGGTCATTACACAAAAGTCTTCTCTTTTTTCTAGAGTTCAGATTGATCACCCATGAAATTAAAAAAAAAATTACAATGAGAGCAGATTAAAAATGCAGGAAGTGTAAAGCTTAGTTGAAATTGACCTTTTCAAATTGGAAACTAAAAGGAACCATTCAGTTTTGTACAAAACATCCATCCATTTTCAGCCGTTTATGTGGAGCCGAGACACGGGGGCAGGAGCCGAAGCCATGAGGCCAAGACTTCTATACGTCAGAGGCATAACAGAAAAAAATAAGAGCAACAATAAAACAACACAACATACACACACCAACAAAACCATACACAACACTTAGAAACAGACTAGTGCACCCAAAAGACAAAATATCAGCTGGACTTAAATGTGGAGTCATTTACGAAATCCCATGCAAACTCTGCAATAAAACATACATAGGAGAAACCGGACGCCAACTCAACACACGAACAGTAGAACATAGAAAGGAGTGTGAGAAAGAAACAAGTGGAAGACACACAAGAGCAGCAAAACAAGAAGCAGAAAGCACAATAAAGAAGTCAGCCATAACAGATCACTGCACAAGAGAAAACCATGTAATGGACTGGGACAACACAAGAATCATAAACACTGAGCAACAGAAATACAAAAGATGGATAAAAGAAGCTATAGAGATAAGGAGACGTGGATGTGGGACCATGAACAGAAATGATGGAGTTTACACGTTGGATCGTTCATGGGACTGCATCGTCGGAGAGGGGAGAGCGGGCAGCAGAGGGCGACAACGTCCTCTGCTGCCCACGGATAAACGAAGGAAGCGACGCCACAATCAGCGTCAGCCTGATGATGTTTGCAGCCGCAAACGAAACGTTGCTGGTAAATAAACCTTTTCTGTGTTTTAAAAAGAACTAAAAGACGGAATTAGAATTTCAACACAGCAAGAAGACACCAAAGATGATCTAATGCATGTTAATACAGCCCAAAAAGTAGTTGACGGGTTGAGAAAGCAGGAACTGAAACAGGAAAACAATAGTTTGAATGCTTAATAGCATTTAAACAAAAAAAATGTTTTGGGCAAATTTTCTTGAATGGTTAATTAATTACAAAGCTTTTTAAAACCAGTTCCATCCCAGTAAAAACAAAACTGGTACCAGTTTGCTTGTCTTCATATTCAGTGATGTCACTTTCTGATATCTGCTCAATGATGTGGTCTAACTGGATATCAGTCAGATATTGGACCTCTCTCTGAGCATTGCGTCTCTTCTTCTGTGCTACCAGTGCTTCCTGAAGGAGAAAGTAGCTCCTGGGAATCTGGAGGAGGAGAAACAGGAATAAATAAATCTGCTTTAAAACCACGAAGCAACATCAGCAGTTCAAAGAAAACGTGATTCACCCTCACAGCCTCAAAACCTATTTCAACACCAAGTCAACTTTAAGCTCCTCCCTTTAATTATGCACCAGCTGCAGGATGTGTCAGAAATTCATCAGAACTTCATCTGAGACTCACCAGCCGGCCCAGTAGTTTACCCCCACAGGCTGAGCTGCTGCTGTCCTTCATGGAGAGAGCAGTGTGGAAGAGCAGGGTCTTCAGATCATCCAACCCCTCCAGAGTTTTACATGACACTTCACTGTACACACACACACACACACACACACACACACACACACACACACACACACACACACACACACACACACACACACACACACACACACACACACACACACACACACACACACACACATTAAGACTTCCTGACATAACCTGAGGTGTTGACTCAGAAGTCTGCTTACTGCAGGTTTTTGCAGGTGATGTCTGGGTAACCAACAGCTCGGGCTCCAGATGGAGATCGGCACAGAGCCAGAACATAGGCTCTCAGGGTCGCCAGCCTCTCCGTACGAAAAATTGTGTCAATGAGGTCCAGATGTGTTCCCACAACCACCACAGCAGAGTTGGGAGCTCGAGCCTGCGCATGACAAAGCAGATATCAAATCAAATCAGTTCAAAGATACTTTATTAATCCCAGAGGGAAATTAGAGTTTCAGTACACACAATGCAGAGATCAGACATACATGGGCAAGACACAAGACAAGAATTGGTGACTGTGGTCATTCACAACCCTGAGTCGCGCTACTTTAATAGAGATAGGAGGGTTACATGAGGATTGGTTCAGGTGGAGGGAAAAAGGCACTTCAGAGCTACCTTCCATAGGGAGGGCAGCTTTGCTCTGCAAAAAAACACCTCAGACAGATAAGCAACAGACTTCAGACAACACAAGTGTCCACTAGGTGGGGTGGTGGGTTGGGACTATCCCAGCTTCAGCTCCTGCAGCCACGATAAGCAGCGCATGTCACCTCAGTGTGGATAGGGGGAGGAGCATTGAGGGCTGGAGGGTTGCAATGACCCTGGAACGTTTCAGCGGCCTTCCCGCAGTCCCGCCCAGTCTGGGATAGGAGACAGAGTTGAGTTGCCATAGCGACGGCACATTCCACATATCTTCTGAGGGGCCAGTATTTGCTGGAGCCTTGCAGGCTCAAGGACGCCAGATTCCGATTAGAATTTGTTTTGGGGCCAGACAGAGATAATTTCCTCTGTGTCTTACAGTTTGTTGGTCCTCAACCGTTCAAAATCCCAATAATGGACATTAATCTATCCCAATCCGTGCTGATTCGTCCACTCTCTCCTTGATGACATCCATCTTTTGTGCCAATAATTAATCTTGGCCAAAGTCCCAAGCTTACGATTCATCTCGACAATTATTTGAGTCTGTGCATTCACAGCACGGTGCAAGCCATCTCTGAACTCCGGGATCAGGCCAATATTCCTCAACAGCTCGTTAATTTTCCAGTAAGCCAGGTAACCGCTCAGGACAAACAGCAGAAATCCCGACACCAACACACGAATATCCAGACGTCTTCAGAGTCCTCCACAAACAGCTGAGATAAAATCAAGTTCCACTGTTTCCAGGAGTCCATGATGTGTCCAACTGGGTCTGTCCCGGCGGGGCATCCAGGAGCCCCTTCTCCCGTTCTCATCGTTGAAAAATTTTTATCAATCGCGTTGAGTGACCAACTGACGAGATCCCTTTTAGTGAATTTCAGTTTCCAGTTTCCAGAAACAGAAGCAGCCGTGCACCCAGCACACACAGACAGACAAAGGGCCTTGAGGATAAGATATGGAGGAGAGGAGGAAAAAAAGTGTGTGCACCCCCCAAAAGCCGGAAGAAGAATACCAGAATACAATATTACATATAAGGTGCCCCTGAATACACTGCTGACAACACTGACCACACACTCCACAGCAATAAAACACAAACCTAACTCAGTCAGACCTCGTGTTAATTTAAACTAAACATGCCTACGGGACTCCCTACATGGACATGAGGGATGCAGCAGCAGATGATGCACGCATGCACATACGTGTGTGTGTGTGTGTGTGTGTGCGTGTGTGACAGAGAGAGAAACACATTGACCTCTATGTTGAGGAGCCACGTCTGCAGGTCACTCACAGCCTCCTCCCCCAGAGCCAAGTTCCAGATCACCACATACAGAGCCTTATCCGTGAAGAAGCACTGGTTCACTGTGGTCATGCTGGCTGGACCTCCGACGTCCCACACACTGAACACCGCTGAGCCCTTCTGGGTAGAAACCGACAAAGGCTTCGTTATGGTCTAAGAGGTGAGATAAATGCTTGAACAAACATAGTTATACATCAAAGATAAAGACATGTTCTACTATGACAGGGTTTTACATTAAGACAACATGCCATCTGCCACTCCACCATCTCCACTTGCACTTCTGCCATGTTGGGTGATCCTACTATACCATTGACACATAGAAGCAAATGTTCCACAATTACTTGCTGGTGCTTGCTATAGATACCAGTCAGCTGCCAAACCAAAATGATTTTGTTCTGCATGTGGGTCTAGCCACTCTCCATTGGAACCTCCACAGCATCGAACAGTCTGGTTCTGGTCCTATCACAGCGTTCTATCAGTTTGGTGGGCCAATAAAAGCACTTTGTTGGTTCGGTGGGCAGAATGTTACTGTGACTGAGCAAACGAGATGGAAGAAGGAAGAGCAAACAAGAGAACTGACATGAGAATCCAGAGTGAGAGCTGGGTCAAAGGTCACGCCAAGATTCCTGACGAAAGGTTTGGTGTGGGAAGCAAGCTGGCCAAGAGAGTCTCTGACTTTGGGAACCAGCTTGTCTGGGGCACAGATGAGGATCTCAGTCTTATCTTCATTCAGCTGAAGAAAGCTCCCAGCCATCCAGGTTTTGATAGAGTCTAAGCAGGTGTGTAACAGCTGCAGCTTAGACATCTCATGGGACTTAAAGGAGATGTACAGTTGGATGTCATCTGCATAAAGATGGTAGGAGATTCCTTTGAAGGAGCTCAGGATGTGCTGAAGAGGAAGCAGATAGAGGAGGAAGAGCAGAGGCCCCAGCACAGAACCTTGTGGGACACCATGGGTAAGAGAGGTGGTAGAGGACCTAAACTTGGAGACGGCCACAGAAAAGGAGCGCTCAGAAAGATAACTGGAGAACCACTCCAGAGCAGATCCTGAAAGGCCTACCCAGTCTCTCGGCCTCTCCAGTAGCAGGTGATGGTCAACAGTGTCAAAGGCTGCAGTCAGGTCCAGCAGGACCAGAACAGAACAGTCCCCTGCATCACTGTGAGTCAGAAGGTCATTAGAGACCCTAAGAAGAGCTGTTTCAGTAGAATGAGCTCTACGAAAACCTGACTGGAAGCTATCATAGATGTTGTGTGTTCATCAAGAGCAGCTGTGAGTTGTTTAGCCACAACCTTTTCCAAGATCTTGGAGATGAACGGAAGTAGCTGTGGTAGCCTCATGGAGGGGCCATCGGCTAGCACACTGCTGCTAACCACTTCCTCTCCTGATAATAATATTTTACTTTCCTTGACATTGAATGTGCTACTACTAGTTTACCCGTTTAATTATAGATCCACTAGGATAAATACAATAAAGTTTATCTCTCACCAAATAGAATATTTACTAAGAACTCACAATGTAACCATAGACACTTTGCTTGGTGTGTGTGTGTGTGTGTGTGTGTGTGTGTGTGTGTGTGTGTGTGTGTGTGTGTGTGTGTGTGTGTGTGTGTGTGTGTGTGTGGCTAAATGCTTAGTATGAGGATTGCTATAAAGACTCTGACACTAGTCAGTGACTCGATGCGACCTGCTGGGTTCCTTATATGGGAAACTTTTTACTGACTGGCTTAATGAACTGACCTGGACTGGACTGTTTACTGTGTGAAGTGTCTGGAGATGACTCTACAGAAGATGTTAAGAAGACCCAAAAGGTCTAATGAGTTTACCTTCCCAAACACAAACTATTTTAGTAGCAGTAGCAAACTAAAAAACACATCACGTTCAGTTTACAAATATAAGAAACTTATAGTCATCATGTTGAGGTTAACATGTATTTTAAATGTTTTTAGTTGATGCCAAAGCTGCTTCAAACGAGCTGAGTCCCATTCTGTCCCGCTCTGAACTTGAGACAGTTCTCCACACCTTCATCTCCTCACGCTTAGACTACTGTAACTCTCTTTTCACGTGTCTGAGCAGAACCTCTCTGAACCGTCTACAGGTGGTTCAGAACGCCTGTGCTCGGCTTCTGACCAAGTCCTCCAAACACACCCACATCACCCCGCTTCTCCTCCAGCTTCACTGGCTGCCAGTCAACTTCAGGGTTCATTTCAAGATCCTGGTTCTGGTCTATAGGGCCTTACATGGACAAGCACCATCTTACATTGGTGATCTTCTTAGTCCCTACACCCCCAGCAGGTCCCTGAGGTCCAGTGATCAAAGCCTACTGGTTGTGCAGCACCAGGCTAAAGACCAAAGGTGACAGATCATTTGCTGCTGTGGCCCCCAGACTCTGGAACTCTCTCCCCCTGAGCCTGAGATCAGTGGACTCAGTGGACTCCTTCAAAAAGCAGCTGAAGACTCACTTGTTCAAGCTGGCTTTTGTATGACCTTCTTCACCACTCTCTCTTTATTCGGCTTTCCCCACCTATTCCACCTTCCTCATGATCCACTGATTTCCCTCTTTCATGTTCACTCTCTTTCTTTCTTTACATTTTTTTAATCACAATTGTCTATTTTTTGCTCATTTTAATATATTTTTAAACATTTTCTAAATGCTTTTTTATATTTTTACAATTTTTGTTTTTGTGAAGCGCCTCGTGATTTTTATCTTGAGAGGTGCTATAGAAATGATATTTGATTCTTCTACTTCTTCTTCTCAGCAGAACATCACTGTAGCTTCTTCTGGGGAGAAAAACACTTAGAGAAAAAATTAAGTTAACAGCTGAAATAGCAGGAAATAATGTAGTTAGAGAGCAGATTGTAGAAGAAAGTAGTCGAGTGTGGAAAGTGGTCAGTGTGCCCTCCAGCACTCTAAAGCCTGATTCATGCTTCTCCGTCTGCGTCAGTGCGGAGACACGCAACGTCCTTGCGGAGCTGCCGGAGAGCTCCGCAAGGACGGACGGAGTCGAGCTCTCTTTTCTAAACATCCGTCAGTCGAGACGGCCAACGCAAACTTGTGATTGGTCAGGACGCCGCTGTTGCCTACAGCGCGGCCAATGTGCCCTCAAAAACATAAAGAGAGCCGAGGATAACAAGCGGCAGACACGGAGCAGCTTGAAGAAAACCTCGCGAAAAAACTCTAAAAACATGAATGTTCAATTCTCCCATGACTGGAGGAGTGAAAAGATGCACAGCAAGCGTTTTATTTGTGGACGGAAATGACAGGAAATGTGGGTTTAGAGGTGGCGAGCGCATGAAGAGGTGGAAGAGGATGAGAGACAAATTTGTCTGTGTTAAAAAGTCTCTTATGTACAAAAAAAATATATAAAGACACCATCTTGGACCGGTACATGACAGGATACCACAGAACAGCGCTATGCCCTCTGCTGTCCTGCCGGGCAATTGCTTTGCAACACTCCCCAGGAGACGGAGAAGTATGAGAGCAAAGCGCTTCCGTCAATCCGTGCGTGTCTGTCCCTTGTGGAGCTGACGGAGAAGTATGAATCAGGCTTAAGCCTATAGCAGCATATCTACAGAGATAACTCTGGATAACCTAGCCTTTTAGATGGAGGCATGTTAGAGGCAAGGCAAGGGAGAGCCGCCTTTACCGACTGTATACTCCACCTCCCTCTACCCCCCCACTTGTCCAGATCTAGGCTAACATCAGATTTTAACCATAAGCCCTATCAAATTAAAATGTTTTAAGCCTAGTCTTAAAAGTAGACAAGGTGTCTGCCTCACGGACTAAAGCTGGGAGCTGGTTCCACAAGAGAGGAGCCTGATAACTAAAAGATCTGCCTCCCGTCCTATTTTTAGATATTCTGGGAACCACCAGTAAACCTGCAGTCTGAGAGTGAAGTGCTCGGTTAGGAACGTATGGAACAATCAGATCACTGATGTATGATGGAGCTTGATTATTAAGAGCTTTATATGTGAGAAGGAGGATCTTAAAATCTATTCTGAATTTACCAGGCAGCCAATGTAGGGAAGCTAAGACAGGAGAGATATGATCTCTTTTTAATTCTCATCAAAACACTAGCTGCAGCATTTTGGACAAGCTGAAGACTTTTAACTACATTCTGTGGACTTCCTGAGAGTAATGAATTACAGTAATCCAGTCTTGATGTAATAAATGCATGAACTAGTTTTTCAGCATCACTCCTGGAAAGCATGCTTCTAATCTTAGCAATATTCCGAAGGTGGAAAAAGGAAATCCTACAAACCTGTTTAACGTGGGATTTGAATGACATGTCCTGGTCGAAGATAACACCAAGGTTCCTTACTTTGTTCACAGAGATTAATTTAATGCCATTGAGGTCAGGTGATTGACTAAGCAATTTCCTTTTCTGGATTTCTGGTCCAAAGATGAGAACTTCTGTCTTGTCTTGATTTAAAAGCAAAAAGTTTAGAGTCATCCAATTTTTTATGTCCTCAATACAAGCCTGTAATCTACCCAACCGATTAGGTTCATCAGGGTTAATGGACAGATATAACTGAGTATCGTCAGCATAACAGTGGAAGTTTATCCCATGCTGTCTAATGGTTTTACCAATTGGGAGCATATATATAGTAAAAAGAACTGGTCCAAGCACTGAACCCTGTGGTACTCCACAAGTAACCCTGGAGTATGAAGACGATTTGTCATGTACGTTTACAAAATGAAATCTGTCAGAAAGGTAGGATTTAAACCAGCCTAGCGCTGTTCCTTTGATTCCTACAACATGTTCAAGTCTTTCTAAAAGAACATCGTGATCAACTGTGTCAAAGGCAGCACTGAGATCTAACAAGACTAGAATAGACACAAGATTCTTATCTGAGGCCATGAGAATATCATTTGTAACTGTCACTAATGCAGTTTCAGTGCTGTGATACTCTCTAAAACCAGACTGAAATTCCTCAAACAGATCATTAGTGTTTAGATGCTCACATACTTGGATGGCCACTATTTTCTCCAGGACTTTGGATAAAAATGGAAGGTTAGATATTAGTCTATAATTCATTGGGTCATCTAGATCCAGAGAAGGCTTCTTAAGTAAAGGTTAAGTAGGATGTGAAGACAGTTTGAAAGACAATAATAGATTGCGCCCCACAACTGACAGTCGTCAATGGGTTGTGGTCAAACTGTTTATTAACATATACAGGATGGCTTGCTAGGCTATAGGTGCTTGCTGCATTGGGAAACGACTGGGCTCAAGAGAGAAAAAAAAAGCTCATTACCTGCTAGGACAATGGGTACTACTATGAGGTACCATAGTAGTACCTACCAAACCAAGGTACTGGATGGAGAACACCACTAAGGCTTTGAAAACTCACTTTGATCTTCAGAATGCTTTTGCTGGGCACTTTTTTTTTTTTTTTGTCAGAAAATGCACTCAAGAACAAACTGACGCTATTCTGCATTATTTGGGCATTTTGAGAGGTTTAGCTGCAAGATTAAATGATTCAGGATCAACTTGTTGGATCTGAACTGACAGTCAGCGTAAGTGAAAGATTTGAGCTGACTTGATCTTGAATAAAGCCGTTACCCCAGAACACACAACCTTGGAGAACGCTAAGACACAAAACCATCGGATGACTGGAGACGTTTCCAGAACGTACGCCAGAGGACTACAACCCCCGGTGAGCAGGATTCTAGTGCTGCCAATCTAGCTTCTTCATGTTAATGCTGTGGTTCTGACAAACGTGGCAAACAACCAAAAATTCCCCACTGCGGCAGCAAGATGTAATAACTGCCAGAAGGTGGGTCATATTTCTCATGTAAGTCATTCATCACAGACCTGCTCTATCAATGCTGTGGAGCGACCTCAGGCCAATTCTCTAAGGTTGACTGTGAATGACTGTGTTAATCTGTTTCTATTATATTCAGAAATGAGTATGAAGCACATTTCAGCTGAAATGACAAGAGGGGTTGTCAGGGTATTCCTGCAAAGAATGTTTTTCCAGATTCCTCTATGAAGGACTTAAGGCATGTGGGAGCAAAACACTCCAGCTGAGATTCCTCGCGCTCCAGTTCATGAAAGATGACCACCATGTTGATTAGGGTTGGGCACCGACTGGAACTGTTAGTTTTTTCCGGAATCGTTAAAAGTTTTTTATTTCGATTTTTCTTTTTTCCTCCAAAACATGTTTTTGTCTAAATGAAGGTGATGCTATTGTTCATAGAATTAAAATTCATGTTGACGTTAAGATTATTTCATCAAGTAGGACATGTGGTTAGCTGGCTCATGTAAAGCATGTCATGTCTTGAAAGAACCGGAATCGGGAATCGATAGGAACCGGAATCGAAACGAGGAATTGGAATCGGAATCATTCAAAATCAAACGACGCCCTACCCTAGTCTTGATGGTGTGTCAAATATTCAAAAAGAAGTATTAAAAAAAGTATAACAGGTTGACTATAGATGTCCTTTGAGTGACAAATGACAGTTATTAAGTTGACGAAATGAATGAGTTCAGAGTATATTCATGGTACAAATTCTGTACAATGTACTTTTAAGACGAACGGAAGATGATGTGTTCTGAAACCAATACGGCTCTAAACGCTCATGACCCTCCGCACCACAAAATCAATGAATTTGGAAGCGACATATATTTTGATGGTGCATCACTCTGTGCCTTCACAGATGATTCATTATGTCTGCTGCTCTCCTCTGCCTGTAAACACATTTGTGTAGATAAAAAGTAATGCTGCCAACTCTTTACCTAAAAATAAACAGCACACTTTCAGGAGGACACTGTGCATGTGTGTGCATTTTAACCCAAAGGTTTCTCACATTATTTTTGCTTGTATTGCCTTTATCCAGCTCCCAGATGAAAGTGGAGATACAGCATTCTGCAGGGGTGAAGGGAGAGGACCTTCCGGTCAGCAGAGCCTCCACCAGGGCAGTCTTCCCCTGCCTTGGTGGCCCAATGACAAGCATCTTCAACTGCCTACAAGGCTCTGCTTTTCGAAGATGTGCTCGGAGAAAGGTCAGCACAGATGCAGAACCTGAAAAGTCAGAAAGAAAAAAAACTGTTTTCAAGGGTCTCTCCAGGACAAACATTTTACAGTCCCAATCAAAGGAATCAGTTCATCCCAAACCTCCCTGGTTCTTCCCTCACAGGGAGCTTGTGGACTATTTAAACTATAGAAACTCACTCCAGCTTTAACGCAGCAATATGTCAATAAAAATGTTGAGGCAGCGATTTTATCCTATCTTGAATTATATATGAAAAGCAGAGGAAACTGTACAAGCACAAAAATCTGCTGACACCTTATAAAGCTGTGGATCAGTATGGGAATGTGTGTAAATCTGATGCTAAATGGGCAAGACATGAAAACCATGGACGTTGTTGTGTCTAGTCTGATTGTGGAATGAGATCAAAGAAATTCCTGCAAGTTTCAACCAGCTTCCAACAGTCTGACAGGAACCTGGAACAGAGTGACCCCGGCAGGGCTGCACTGCCCGTCGGGCAGTGGGCGACCACGGGCCGGTCATCATCGCTGATATTTGGCTGCCCGCGGAGATTTGGGTGTCAGCCCCATGTCATTGCTTGCAATTTTGGACCGCCAGAGTCAGTTGTCATGTCGGTGGGCCTGTCAGATATTTGAGCCTAGCACAAATACATCCATCATTAACCACGTCATACTGATTTTATTACGAACCTTCATTCATATTATCAAAGAGAAACTGCTTGAAATTTCTACCAGCCGAACCAACTCCATCTCTCAGTCGTGGTGCAGCTCTCCGTCCACCTGCAGCTAGTTTTTGTGTCACCCTTTGTTCAGTATTTTCATTTCTTATTGAAGTAATGACAGTGATACATTTTTTGCCAGCAAAAATGTATCAGAATTCATTTATTTTATTTTTATTTTAACATTTACAAAAACAAAGCACACTGGGAAACCTATTCATCCAATCAGTGTAATCATAACCGTCATCACTGACTAACCAACTTCTAGTTAAGCTAACTTTCTAGAGTAAAGCAGCTAACAAGCCTTTAGTTTAGCACCAACGTTTGGAGAACAAGACAAGGGAATAAAAGGCAGAGGTTGCCGTATTATCGTTTTAAAGCAGTCGTGTTTAAATCCAGTTACTGCAGTGGTATTCTGAGCAGTTCCAGTTCGGTTCCTCTATCTGTGCACCGTCAGATGCATCTGAAAAATTCCCTGTGAGAACAGAACAAGGATTTCTGGATTTCTCTTTCATCAATACGTTTACTGCATAGAACAAATACAGAACCTAAATTAGTAAGTACAGCCTGCTACTGCTGCTTTGTGTGTGTGTGTGTGTGTGTGTGTGTGTGTGTGTGTGTGTGTGTGTGTGTGTGTGTGTGTGTTTGTGATAGGGTTTGTCGGTGCATAATAGTTAGCATGATTCCTGATTAAAACTGCAGTTTTTAAAGTGAATATACTGTATATGAAAATTATTTGCTCTGTAATTATTCCCCCATATTTCAACACCATAGCTCAGATATGGAAAAATAAAGCAGTCATAAAGTACCTGAGGGGATTTTATATCTAAAACAAATCTCATTCTACTCATAAGTCCTATATATTTAACTTTAAATCATTTGTATGCAGCTTCCAACTCAGTTTCCCAGCATTTGTAATTCACAAGTTTTTATATGTGTGTACTTGTTCATTTTCTATACCATTTCTTTTTATAATAATTTGATTGTTAATTTGTTTGTTTCCAAATATAATGTACTTTGTTTTGGTCACATTCATAGAAAGTTTATTATAATCAAACCATCCAATTCTTTATCAACCATCTCAACACGCTTATTTAGGTCGTAACCAGAACAATAGAGACTGGTGTCATCAGGATACAACAAACAATTCTCTTTAAATAGGACCTCACACGCATCATTAATATCCATTATGAATAGTTTCGGTCCCACTATAGAACCTTGTGGGAGTCCATGAGTAATGAACTCCTTTCTAGAATCAACATTATTAATGTGCACATACTGATCTCCATTGATGCTATGGAAGCATTTCCCCCATGCATAGGCAGTGCCATGAATACATTTCTTTGAAGCTTATGAAGAAGGAGTGTATGATCTAGATCAAAGGCCTTGCTTAAATCAATGAAGACCCCCCAAGGCATATTTATTTTCTTCTACTGCTGTTGTAATATCTTCGGTTAAGGCCGTAACCGCCACCAGGGTGGATCTGTTCGATCGGTAACCAAACTGTAGTTCACTTAAGTTGAATTTTTAACAAAGTCCTCAAGTCTAGTGATAAACTATGTTTCTAAAATCTTAGAGAATTGTGAAAGAAGAGAAATAGGTCTATAATTTGTGAATAGATGTTTGCTTCCACTTTTATGAATAGGAATTCTTTTAGCCGTTTTCATTTAACTTGGAACGATGCCAGTACTGAAAGACAGGTTGCAAATATGTATAAAGGGTGTGACAATGTGACTATATTTCCTTAATTAACTTCATATCTAAATTACAACAATCTGATGAAATTTTATTTTCAAATTTATTACCAAAATTTATTATTTTGTTATCTTTTACACTCGTTAAAAATAGCGAGCTGGGGTTACGGTCAGTTATGGATTCCGTATTACTTTTTTAGTTGAGGATGCTTTAATAGCACCAGCTAATAATGGTTCTACTTCTACAAAATAATGTATGAAAACATTAGCAATTTCATTGATATCAATAATTTAATTATCTTCTTTAACGAAATAACTTGGGAGTGCATTTCCTTTTATTATTATTATTATTATTATTTTATTATTATATGCCTTATACCTTTCTTCTGCACACTTTGTTTTATAAATGCTCTGTAAAGGTGGTTTTTCTTCTTTACTATGCCATATTTTATCCAGGGCTTGTTTATTTTAGCTTTATTTTTCATAGTATTTTCCTTCTATGGGCAGTGTTTTCTCATCTGACCTGCGGCCGCATGTCTTGGACACTCAGGTGAAGAGAGGGGCGGAGCTGTCAACTGACCACTACCTGGTGGTGAGTTGGCTCAGATGATAGGGGAGGATGCCGGTCAGACCAGGCAGGCCCAAGCGTATCGCGAGGGTCTGCTGGGAATATCTGGCAGAGTCTCCTGTCAGAAGGAGCTTCAATTCCCACCTCCGAATGAACTTCAAAAATGTTCCGGGGAAGGCGGGGGAGATTGAGTCTGAATGGACCCTGTTCCATGCCTCCATTGTTGAGGCGGCCGACCGGAGCTGTGGTCGCAGGATCGTCTGTGCCTGTCGTAGTGGCAACCCCCAAACTCGCTGGTGGACACCGGCGGTTAGGAATGCTGTCAAGCTGAAGAAACAGTCCTATCAGGTCCTTTGGGCCTGTGGGAATCCAGAGGCTGGTACCAGCAGTCCAAGCGGAATGCGGCTCGGGTGGTCGCCGAGGCAAAAACCTGGGCATGGGAGGAGTTCGGTGAGACCATGGAGCAAGACTTCCGTACGGCTTTGAGGAGATTCTGGTCCACCATCCGGCGCCTCAGACGGAGAAAGCAGTGCACTACCAACACTATCTATAGTGGGGACGGTGTGCTGCTGGCCTCTGCCCAGGACGTTGTGGATCGGTAGGCAGAATAGTTCAAAGACCTCCTCAATCCCACCGACACGTCTTCCAGTGAGGAAGCAGAGTCTGGGGACTTTGAGTTGGCCCCTCAAATCTCTGGTGCTGAGGTCAATGAGGTGGTTAAAAAACTCCTCTGTGGCAAGAATCCAGGGGAGGATGAGATCTGCCCAGAGTTCCTTAAGGCTCTGGATGTTGTGGGGCTGTGTTGGCTGACGCGGCACTGCAATATCGCGTGGACATCGGGGGCAGTCCCACTGGACTGGCAGACCGGGGTGGTGGTCCCCTTATTTAAAAAGGGAGACCGCAGGGTGTGTTCCAACTACAGGGGGATCACACTCCTGAGCCTTCCTGGTAAGGTCTGTTCAGGGGTTCTGGACAGGAGGGTCCGTCGGATTGGTGAACCTCAGATTCAGGAGGAGCAATGTGGTTTTCGTCCTGGCCATGGAACACTGGACCAGCTCTATACCTTTAGGGGGATCCTGGAGGGTGCGTGGGAATTTGCCCAGCCAGTCTACATGGGTTTTGTGGACTTGGAGAATGCGTGTGACCGCATCCCTCGGGGGCACTGTGGGGGGTACTCCAGGAGTATGGGGTACCAGCTCCTCTGATACAGGCAGTTAGGTCCCTGTATGACCGGTGTCAGAGCTTGGTCCACATTGCCGGCAGTAAGTCGGGCTCGTTCCCAGTGAGAGTTGGACTCCGCCAAGGCTGCCCCTTGTTACCGATTCAGTTCATAACCTTTATGGACAGGATTTCTAGGCGCAGCCAAGGTGTGGAGTGCATCCGTTTTGGTGGCCTGAGGATCAGGTCTCTGCTTTTTGCAGATGATGTGGTCCTGTTGGCTTCATCAGAAGAGGATCTCCAGCTTTCGCTGAGCGGTTCGCAGCCGAGTGTGAAGCAGCTGGGATGAGAATCAGCTCCTCTAAATCTGAGACCATGGTCCTGATTCGGAAAAGGGTAGAATGCCTTCTCAGGGTCAGGGATGAGGTCCTGCCCCAAGTGGAGGAGTTTAAGTATCTTGGGGTCTTGTTCACGAGTGAGGGAAAACTGGAGCGTGAAATCCATAGGCGGACTGGTGCTGCATCTGCAGTGATGCGGGTGTTGTACAGGTCTTTTCTGGTGAAGAGAGAGCTGAGTCAGAAGGCGCAGCTCTCGATTTACCGGCCGATCTACGTTCCTCCCCTCACCTATGGTCATGAGCTTTGGGTAGTGACTGAAAGAACGAGATCATGGATACAAGCGGCCGAAATGAGTTTTCTCCGAAGAGTGGCTGGGCTCTCCCTTAGAGATAGGGTGAGAAGCTCGGTCATTCGGGAGGGAATCGGAGTAGACCCGCTGCTCCTCCACATCGAAAGGAGCCAGTTGAGGTGGCTCGGGCATCTGGTCAGGATGCCTCCTGGACGCCTCCCTGGTTAGGTTTTCCAGGCACGTCCAACCGGGAGAACACCTAAAGGT